AAAAAAAAAAAAAGAAGATGATTAATTTGACATGACTCTTGAAGTCACAATGAAGAGGAAGTAGAAACAGGTCTTTTCTTCCTTTTTGTAAACAGACTATTGAAAAAGAAAAAAAAAATTCTGTCCATCGGTTGTTGATTGAAAGGTTGAGGTCAAAATACAAAACATGCACAGATGAATTGTTGGCAATAAGATCAGTAACTTAACATTTCAAAAATATGGTGAACTTTTCTTTTAATGCTGACTTCACAGGTTTAAGCTTAAAACTAAAAACACATTTTTTTGGTCTGAAACTGCTGATATTTGCAGTCATGTCTTATCTTTCTTTGCTGTTCCTTGTTTAGTTGTACAAGGTGGTGTATCCAAGCCTGTGTGATAACAACATCTACCAGAAGACTTTAGTTAATGAGGTCCTGTATGAGGCACAACAACTGAGACGGGAATGGCTCAGGAGAATGAACATGGACTCCAACAATAATGCACACTTCTACGCTCCTCCATTAATGGAAGTATTCCAGCATGGGGTCGAAGGGGATGCACGTGAGTGGCAGCCTATCTACCAGCAGGGCGGCACCATTTGCGTTCCTTTGGAACGTGTGTGGTCCAGTCCCAGAGTGAGAGCGCTGTGTGGGAGCATGCGGCGTCTCAGGGAGGAACTGCTGGAGGATGAGCGGGTGAGGATGAGCGCTGATGGAACGGTGTTAAACCTGCCTACCGATGATGATGAGGTGGAGGAAGAAAAAGATGATGTGAAAACAGTATCAGGTGTAGCAAACAACATAGAGGAGGACTGGGATAGGGAGCTTGGGAGTTAAGGTAATGTATAACAGATCCAGAAAGCTCTGTAACCAGAATAAAAGAAAGCAAGCTGCACTTAAGACGATTGTTAGTTTTTGACTGTATGTGTAGGATCATCAGAAAGACATATTTCAATTATATGGCCAAATCTGTGTGATCGATGGAGAAGACAACCATTAAACATGTCATTAAAAATGCAAATATGTGACACCTTCTTTGAAATGTGGTTTTATTTAACAGTGCGTGGTACATACCTTACCAGCATCATAACAGAACACATGGCATGGAAGCCAAAAGTTAGAACACAACATTGCGATGTCACCTTTAAACATCAGACACCGTACAATTACAAGGACCAAAAACTTCACAGAAGAGATAAAGCCACCATGTTTTTACAACATGTAGAGTACCAGGACCTACTAGGACCAGGGGGAAAAAGTGAATCTTGACAATTTCGGTAACACAAAATACGCTCAAATACATAAAAATAGACTTTCATTTTGGCAGTAGATCAATTAAAAAACTAAAAATCAAGTTTAAACTCTGATGAAAAGTAATGAAGCTGAAATATTGCAGATAACCTCTAAATATACTGGTATTTGCAAACATTTGCAACGGAGCACTTAAAGGGACATAGTGATGAAGAACAATATGACATGGGAGGATTAAGTAGGCCTATATATAAATGTTGCATTTTCATACAAAGGTTCCCTTTGAGAAACATTGCGATCGCTCACAAAATGCTTGCATTCCCACAAGAAATTTTTCTCTAAAAATACTTGCATTCTCACAAGAAACTTTTGCGTTTTCTTGCTAAATGTTTTCATTCCCACAAGAAACTTTTGTTTGCATGCAAAATCTTTGTGTTCCCACGAGAAGCTTTGCACTCACTCTTTTCAAGTGAACATAACGTTTCTCAGTTGAACGCAAAGGTTTTGCAAGTGAACAAAGTTTGTCTAAGCAATCCAAAACATTTGCGAGAGAACGCAAAAGCACTGATATATAATTTTTCCTCCCATCTCTTATTTAGACATATCTGTCTCTTTAGGGGCTCTGTACAATCGCAGTGTGGTGCTTTGATATTTGTGCTCAACTGCGAATCCTCACACACATTTAAATTGTAGAGGCAAGTGAGTTTATATTAATAAAACAGCGAATGGATTCTGAGAAGAGATGGGCATACGGTCACATAAAACTAGAGAAGCACTAATGTATGATTCTGATATGCCCTATAGCTGATCTTACAGACAGAGATACTATGAAAATAGTCAATACCTTCATTTTAGTGATACATCAAGTAACTACAAAAACATGGGGAAAAAAAGGTTTTGTAGTGTCATAGAGAGGATAAAAAGAGCTACACGCCTCTCAAGAGCCTTGTGCTAAATGTTTCAAGCATTGCTGAAATAGTTAAATACTTTGTTCTGTGCTGCCATGTTACTAATTGTAGCTTGAGAACAGCTTGGCTCATTTTGTCCTTGCATGAAAGCCAATATATTTACGAGATATTAATGATGCCAGAGACGTACTTATCAGATATTCACCTGCTCGGATTTTAGGTAGCTAATATGTCAATATATTGAACTGCAAAATTTCAAAAGTAGTCTCATTCAACATATAATGCAGCTGTAGGAGTTTCATCTACCTTTACGTTCTCAAGCTGAAAGTCATTTAAGACAATGAATAAAGAAGAAATACACATTTTCCGTGTATGGGTTAACTTGATCAACAGCTCAGCCTCAAAACTCCCTACAGTGTTGGAGATACACAGAAAGTCCTTCAATTCAAAGTGCTATTCAAATGGACATTTTTTCAAGTCTGAAAACGGCTCCATCTGTCAAAACGCATCGCGACTTCTCACACGCACAAAGTGAGACGCTGTGGGTGAGTGAGGACGGTTTGATATCCATTCTGACAGTAATGAGATGACAAAAATTTTTTGTAAAGGGGTCACCTTCATCTGCAGAGAGTATACACCTCATATGTACTGTAAAAGATGAATACAATCCATCAAATGTTACTGACATGGCTCACAAACACGTAAACATGGGTAAAAACAAACTAAAACAATAATATGAAATATACATTTTTAAAAATCTGCAAGAAAAATAGAGAAAAACGCTCTGATTTTCAAAGCGGACGTATTAGGAGACAAACTTGACTTCACAGTGAAACACATACACCTATAATGTGGCAGCCTCATACAGAGGAGCGGTCAGTTGTTTATGTGGCCTGCAGAGGACACCATTCCATCAAAAGGATGAAACAGGTTCGTGACAAACAGAGAGGAAACGAACATGTCTGAATCTCTTCGTCCCTTTCTCCTCCCACGAAACAGACTTTGGTTTTTGACACTTCTCCTTCTGTCATCTCCCAACTCTAGCGTTTGATCACCACCTGTTCGTAGGCACCTGCTCCAACTCTGAAAAGAGAAGAAAACAGCATTTACATGCAACCCAGTAAATGCAGTGATGTACTTTTTTTTTAAAGCGTAGAGGGATACCACTGCTTACTGGCTGATTATGCTCTGTTATTTAAAGAGACAGTAACCCGAGCGTTAAAATAGTTATTTACTCACCCTCATGTCATTTCAAACCTGTTTGATTGTCTTACTTCTATGAAATGCAATTTCATGGTTTCATCATACAGGCTATTGTATGGCCCAACTCTGAAAAGAGAAGAAAACAGCATTTACATGCAACCCAGTAAATGCAGTGATGTACTTTTTTTTTTAAAGCGTAGAGGGATACCACTGCTTACTGGCTGATTATGCTCTGTTATTTAAAGAGACAGTAACCCGAGCGTTAAAATAGTTATTTACTCACCCTCATGTCATTTCAAACCTGTTTGATTGTCTTACTTCTATGAAATGCAATTTCATGGTTTCATCATACAGGCTATTGTATGGCTTTGAAACACTTTGAATATAGCATAAAAATACATTCATGGTCCCTTCTGGTAATTTTTTAAAGCTTTATCAGACTCAATCCCCCATTTAAAGAGCAACTTGGGTGTTCTACTCTCATTTCATTTTGTGTTGCAAGGAAGAAAGACATATTTTGGTTTGGAATGACATTTTAGTGAATAAATGATGACAGCATTTTCATTTTTGGCTGAAATATTCCTTCAAACTCACCTGGCAGGAAGGTGATGGCTACCAAGTGCTGTGCTCCCACCAGGACCCACAAACAAGCGCAGACCTTCCTCTGAAACACACACACACTTGAAACAGATATCGCCTCCATTCTGCACGCACAAAGTCACGACTCTTCTCTGGGGATACAAAAACCAAATTGGTCCATTTCTAATGAGAACCTGTCGCCAGGTCATCTAAAAATAATATGAAAACTAATAGGACACACACATCGAGACGTGCTCTGGCACAGAGACACTTCAATACACCTACTGAGTAGCAGCAGCTACCTGTAAACATTGCTACCAATTAAACAACCTGTTTCTAGCGCTGTTTTTTATTTCTGTTTGCTCTCAATCCAACTTTCAAGTCTGCTCTGATGCCGATCCGTCACAAGTCAGTGGCCCAAATTGCAATTTCATAGCAGCAAAAATTCAGTGTTAGTGATCAGAATGAAAGATGGAATTTATGAAATATTTTTTGAAAGACAACAATTTGAAAGATTACAATCCCAAGAGATGCTGCAAATTGTGTATACAAATAATAGTACAATATAAAACAATTGATTTATAGCAGTCAGAATGAAAGAAAGATGGAATTTATAAAATATTATTGGAAATATAGTGACTAAAAATATGAAATGTTTAGTAATCGTTAATAAGAGAATTAACTTTAATCCCATGAAGCACTGCTGATGTAAACAAATTTTAAAAAAATGGTACAATATAAAACAATTTGAATCTATAGCCATTTATTATAAGCATAAAATGTAATATAACTGAAGTTAATTGTGAAAGAGACATATAACAGTAAAATAAGATGTTTGAGATTGTAAAACGACTAATTTGATTACATGATTTGCAGTTCTTCGTGACAGCTCAATGCTAAGCTCTTTTGGTGCAGTTCTCATTTCTATGGTAACAGCGACTTCTCCGATTGGTGGTTTCAAAGTGTTGCCTGCTTCATTTATAGTTCTTTACTGGGAATTTGGGCATTATACACGATTTTTAAAAAATTAAGTTAAAGTTACAGTGTCTTCTATAAAAGCCTACATCAACACTTCCTCAGAGGTGCTTAACATTCATACATTTTTGATCGTCAAACTAAATATAATATGAGCTGTTTTATATTTTATTTCATATAGCTATTTTACATCACTTACACTACTTTTTAAAATTTTGTGGTCATTAAGATTTTTTTGTTTGTTTTTGAAATAAGTTTTTGAGTGGCTCAATAGCGCGATATGCGGTATTATCGCCATATATATATATATATATATATAATCTATGAGTGTGTGTTACGATGTAACAAGGTTATATTCAGAAACCAATGAAACCGAATCTAAATAGAGCGTTGAAACAGGAAGTAAAGAAAACAGAAGAGAATGTCAAAATAAGGGCCCACGTAACAGAATATAAACCTGGCTATTAATTGTTAGCCTATATGTTTAACAGTTCGTTCTGATCCTCAAATCTGCATGGTACACATTATGTTATCATTACTAACTTATTTAATATTCAGTACATATGCACGAAGTGTAAAACGAGAAGGAAAAAGAAAACACGCAAATATTGTGGTTGCTGCAGTTCTTGCATTTCTCTGTGGTTGGCTCGCCAATAGTGCGGTATTGTGATATTGCGGTTATAGCAACAGCCTTAACCTCAAGCGATGTCTATTAATAAACATAAAGAACCCATTGTTACCTTCAGTGCTGGAGTCCAGCAGACTGTGGGTGAAATCCTGGCTTTGCAAAATCTTCTCAACTACGTCATCGGCATCCACCCGTGTGGCATCCACTCTTTTCAGCTGAGACTCCATTGAATCCTGTTTCACTGGATACCTTGTATATATGGGAAAATAAACCTGATAAATCTACATTTATTTAATTTCCTGAATCTAAATCTTCATGAATATAGAGCAGGCAGCGGTAGCAGTGTCTGTCTGACCTGTTGGCAGCTCTGTCAGGGGTTGATGGGTGTTCAGGCACAGCAGTGCAGACCCCCGGGGCTGTAGGGGGTACTGTAGTTTGGTCACTCTCCTCACTGGGCTCAGGGATGCTAGCAATGCCGGTGGAAGCGCTCCCGATCGAAGTGTTCCTCCTGTGGGAGAACTCCGACAGACTGGAGGAACGTGAGTGACTTGTACTATAGCCTGAGAAACAACACAATATTGTTTTAAATTATTATTCTTTTTTTTTTAATGAAGGAAAAAAGTTGATCTGCCCTGGTAATACACAGCATGCACTTTAAAAACCTTCACAGATTAATCAATCAATCACTTTGTATTGAAGGGACATTTAACGCCCCCACCCACACATGCTATTCAGGTTTCCGTCAAGCCAGAGAGTTTTAGAAAGTGATAACGCTAGTATGGGCAGCTACTGGAGGGAATATCCTCCCACACATGTATACGCACACAACAACTCCAGTTTCCAGTCAGAGACAGATATGTGATGAACACTTCTGTTTGCTTTGTGGGACTTTACACTTTGAGATGATCTAACACAAAAGGTCAAAGTGAGCAATGTGTAACCCAATCTGAGAGAACAGCTTAATGAAATAAGGACTGAGTGCTGTCTCCTCTCTGGAAGTACTAGAGGAAGTAGTGTTATAAAATTAGGGACATTTAATCCAGCTACTGTGTGATGGCACTGACTCCTTCTAAAAGCCTAATTTCAAATTATTTAATAAAGCAAGTAGTACTTTCCATAAAAGGGGAACAGAATAGGGCCTGAAGATCTTAAAAATCACTACCATTCAAAAGTTTGGGGTCAGTAAGATTTTTGTTTCCTTGTTTAATGCTATTTAAAGGAAACATTAAATTGATCAAAAGTAAAGCAAAAGCAAAAAAATTAAATTCAAATAAATACTGTTCTTTTGAACTTCTTATTCATCAGACCCAGATTAATGTATTACGGTTTCCACAAAAATATTAAGCAGAACAACCGTTTTCAACATTGATAATAAATAAGAAATGTTTCTTGAGCACCAAATCAGCATATTAGAATAAATAAAGACTGAAGTAATGGCTGCTTAAAATTCAGCTTTGCCATCACACAAATAAATTACATTTTCAAATATATTGAAATAGAAAACATTTATTTTAAATTGTAATAATATTTCACAATATTACTGTTTTACTGTATTTTTGATCAAACAAATGCAGCCTTGGTGAGCATAAGAAACTTCTTTCAAACACATAAAAAACCTTACTGACCCCAAACCTTTGAATGATAGTGTACATCAAAATTAAAATCAATAAAAATTACAATATTTTTAGGTCAATCCCCCCACAATGGGGGGACAAACAAAATATAATGTGAGCTAATGGATTTGCACACACATTCTCTCTCTCTCTCTCTCTCTCATATGTGCACACACACACATCTTCACTCCATGGCACAGAACAGAGACACATGACATGCAGCCTACATGCAAAATGACAAAATCCGTTAATCATCATGCAATACCACTGCATCATGTTGATTGACAGCCTGATAATGTTACAGCCAGGGTTACAGAAAATACAAATCAGGCATGCATTCAAGTACAGCAAGACAACAGAATCACACAGACTCATGATTGAGCGATCACAGAGAAAACAGTGGAAAAGGAAAGCCTACCTGATACTTTGGACTGCTGACTAGCATAACTGGACGTTCGAGAGTGTCCACACAGCCCGAGCTCATCAGGCAGAGAGCCACACTTCCCTGATGTCTCTGTGGACATAAGGGATTCAGTTCAGTCTTAATTAAACCTGCTCAATCACTTTATGGGATTCAATGCCAATCAAACCTGTTCTTCTCCTATTTCCAACCTTAAAATACATTATAATGTATATCTAATGTAGTCATGTAGTATTCAGGCATTTGACTATTTAAATTAGGACTCTCGATTAGAAAACTAATATATGCATTTTAAAAGTGTTCAAAACTGAGTAGTTGGCGGAAGTTCAATATAATTAGAGTCCAATATAATAAGCTCATTTTAATAAATATATTTTCATTGAATATTATTTATAATATTATTATATTATTTATTGAATACTAACCATTGTTGCAACTTGAACCTTTAGTCCTCACAAAAAGAAAAACATATTATGGATATTAATAGGAATGTTGCTCAGCTGGCAATATGAAATTTGACAGCTAAATTCAAAATTTGATGGAGGTGTTGAATTGGATACAAAAGCTTTTTGATGGTTGTACCCTTTAAAATTGCTTGACATGCACACAGTTTTATTTCCTGTGTTGGCATATTTCTTGGTAAAACAGGAAGTTAGGGCATGACTTTTTTTAAATTAGCCTTCCATTTACATCACATCTTTGAATCATGATTTGCTACTTGCGAAATCTAGTTGACAGCAGGTGGTGCATTAGAAGGAGGGACTTTCTCATTCTCGTAAGCATTTTATTGGCTAGAAATTTACATATACCAAGATTAATAAATTTGTCATTTAATTTAATTAAATTTTTTGTCATTCATTTTGATCCCATGAAAAAAAAAGAATTTAGTAAATTTTAAGTATGCCAGCATAATTGTTGTTATTTTTAATAAAAAACAAACTATTAGAAATTGTTAACAATAAATAAAAAAGTAGAAATGTTAGAAAAGTTCAAGCTGAAATACTAGAATTACTAAAACTATTAAAAAAATGACAAAATCACATAACAAATTTACTAAATCTTAAACTAAAATTAAAATGAAAATGGAAAATAAACGCAAGTTCAAAATAATAAATACAATAATAGTATATAAGTAATACTAAAATAACACTGGCTAGCATATGCATGGCCTTAAAACTAACAAATTAAAACCCTCAATACTCTAAAATTAAAGCTGAAAAACAATTAAAAATATCTACATCAAATCGCTCAGATGCTGAAAGACTAGTTGATCATCCTGACCAATCTCTAGTAGTGGTCGACCGATATTGTTTTTTTGACAGCCGATATCTTGGAAAGCAGGATGGCCGATATAAGGCCGATATAATTTTATTTATTTGCCTTCACGCACAGTGTGTGTACATGTGTGGGTGGACAGTGTTGGTTTCCAGTATGCAAATCTGTGTTCAAAGCTATGATTTCCCCAGAGCGCTCATTCACACTCCTTCCCAACATACACAGGCCATTTCTGAGAAAATACTATAATAGCAACTTCAAATGTTTAACAGGAAAATGTCTCTGTGGGTCTTCAGCTAAACTAAATTTTAAAAATGCATGCTGTTGAGATAAAAATAGTGCCTTCTTACAACCCAACTTCAATTCTTTCTCACTTCAGTAGCATCTCCAACCAAATTATAACATATTCAAAAGCATTTAAACGTAACACTCACGTTTTGAAACAGGGGTCCCCAGACATCAGCTGTGTGCTGATAATCACCTGCAGGCAAAGACAAATGACAAAAAGTAAGAAACTGGATGTGTATTACATTTTATTTTTGGATTTTTTTTTTTTTTTTTCTGAGAATGTGAGTCGCTCTTGATTATGCGAAATTCACATGCATGTTTTGGATGGTTTCCAGGGTGTTGCAAGGCAGTTGTTAAAGTGCTCTGAGTGATTATTAGAGTGATGCTATGCGGTTGCTAGGGTGTTTTGGATGGTTGCTTAGTGACCAAGTAAAAAGAGAGGGATTTTTTTCACTTGTTTTGTTATCTGCCAGGTAAAAAGGTCATTTTCCCCCCCAATGTTTTTACATGGTTTTACTCCCCTTTAAAATAATATGATTTCAGGTATACACATCTGGGGTTAGTGTTTTTTTCTTAAAATCGGCATTAAACAAGTTGCAATAGTCTTTTCTTCCCTATTGTGACATGTATCCGAATGAAACGGCTTCTTGAACAAAAAAATGTTGGGGTGGATTTTATTTTGTCCATTGGGAACTGACTGACTGAACCTGATTGAATGATTGTTGAAGTTTGCTACTGCTTCCATCTCATGTGAGTGACAGGTTGTCCCGCCCTTGCACCAGTAAACACGTCATCAGAGAAGAGAAGAGATGTTGTTGCAAGATGGAAGGGAAGTTATTTTGGGGAAGTTAAGATTATGAGGGCACATGAATACAAAAAGAGAATGATGTGCATGGGGAAAAAAACATGTATAATAAATACTGCAATATTCCATAAAAAAAATAAGAATTGTCTATTTTGATTTCATGGGGATTTTAGTGACCAAAAGGACCACTACTAATAACTAAAATTACATAAATCAAAGAATGCAATAAAGAATAAAGCAATAAAGAAATAGCTGAGAAGACCCTGAAAGGAAGTCTGAGCGTTTCTATACCTTAAGGATGGAGTTGTCCTGTCTAGTGTTTTTGGTGTCATAACCCTCCAGTAGACACCTGCGTGTGGTGCTACCCGATCCTGCAAACTCCGACAGGTTGAGATCAGCAAAACCCAGCTGTACAGAAAGCCAAAGCAGTACAAATTCAGGAAAGAAATTTATTTTTGCCAGAAAAAAAATAATTTAAAAATAAAAGGCACTGAAGCTTTAGAGTAAAAAGCTAAATAATAAGGTTAATGCTTTTATGAACAGAAGTGCACTACTCATACACAAACAGAATCACATACAAACACAGTGTTCCAGAGTGATCTATTTTCAGCTGTTCCTTTGCTTTAAATATTTTATAATCCTCTACAGAGCTGTCTACTTGATGAATAACCAATGCCCTGTTTTAGTTTCTATTAATGAAAGGTACATTTGTTTTGTTTTTTGCAACATGAAGATTTTAGCTTAGAACACACATGAATGTACATGGACGTTCATTTTTTTTCACCATTTAAAATCACAATTTAGCTTTTTTTTTATAGTTGATTTAAATAGTCCTGCAGAGTGACAAGTATTTTAATCTTTATAAATATTCCACATAGTCTATCAATTAACATCATGTTGTAAAAACCACTTGTAAAATAATTGCAAAAGAATTAGTAAACACTTTTTAAAATAGCATTAGGTGACTCTGAGAATGTCACGCGTTGCTTTTTGTCAACTACACAAAAGCAAATTGAATAGTGTTGGTATGTTTAATTCAAAAAGGAAGAAGAAATTACCTTTGCATAAGTCTTTCCACCTTTCAGTTCCTGATACATAAAAAAACAATCAAATCATTCTCAGTATTTAAACTCCAAACTGTTTATTGTAAACCAAAAAAGGGTGCATGAGTGTGTTTCTACCTTTCTGACTGAAACTCGACACACACAGGGGTCAAGGACTCCGGTTCCAGCATTAGCGCTCATTTTACAGGGGAAGGAGAATCTTTTTCTCCAGCGTACACAGTTTGCCTGGACCGTCTCGCTGTGAAATGCAAACACACAGCGGGTTGTTAAAGCAAGATGTCACTGTAAAGAACAGACTTGGCTCAAGAGTTTAAAACAAACATCCACTGATCCAAAACAGCGCGAACCCTCTCTCACATCTGCATTTGCAGAATCCAACAGGGGTGGACAGTTCCTGCAGCATTGCTCCTCAGGGAGATTTTGAAACGATTTCACAACAGAATGAGTCACACAAAATCCAGCTTTAATATTCACTTCAAGTCGACTGCATTAAAAGAGTCTGACTCACATTCCGTGATTAATTAGAGCCTGGAGTCAGAAGGCCATACTGACAACAAGAAGTTGAATTAATTTCCCATTTGAAAATGGACCTCCCTGTGCAGGTGCTCTGCTTCCCAATTAGACAGATGTTTGCAGACAGGGCAGATGACGAGTGAGGCACATAGGGCTTTTGAAGAGATACAAGTCTATAAAATGAGCTTCAGGGAAATTGTGATGCTATGATACACATCTAAGAGAGTGAACACAACACTGCAAGCATATAAATGTCAGGATGAAGTGTTTTGTCCCTGTTGGAAGTCAAAGGACAGTGCTAACACAAAGATGCATGTTGCAAATGCAAGGTAATGCCCTTTTAAACACTTGTTGCTTTGGCCAAGCAGCACTGCTCATAAAACTAGATTTTCATATTATCTAAATAAAATATCAGTGGTATGGAGGAGTGAGTGTACCATATTAATAAATAAATCTTTCATTAAAAGCATATGTTCACTACTGTTCAAAGGTTTGGGATCTGTAGCATTTTTTAAATGTTTTTGAAAGAAGTTTCTTATGCTCACCAAGACTGCATATATTTGATCAAAATACAGTAAACCAATATTGTAAAATATTTAAAATTGTAACAATATTTAAAAAAAATTTAACTTATTGCTGTGTAGCGTCTGGACCAATCAAACACACAATATATATTTTGTTAGCTATATTTAACAAATACTCTGTAACACCCCTCAGTTAACAAGCCATATGAGGACCTATGGACCCTTCCCCCGAAATGCGTAACACCTCAGGAACTTCTCAAAACAATGCTAGCAGCATATTTCTCCTACCAACGAAAAACTGTTTGTTTTCCTTCCACTGAACACGGGTGGTTTCTAAGGAAATAAACAGTGTGAGAGAGTTTCTTTCAAGCTAACAACACAATGACACATGCAAAAGCTTGTTCAGCTGAATGTACTCCACAATTGTTGTAACGCTCAAAATATCACACTTTTTTTACTTACAAAAGCTGGGCAGAGGGAATAGACACCTGCTGTTAATAGAGACCTCAGAGGACTTGAAGTGCTTTAGACTGAAAACCCTCTGGTATAAAGCACTACAAAACTTTGCTGACTCACTGTAAACAACCTGTCTTTCACTTAAATTAAGCTCTTGGCATGCATATAATAATAATAAAACAAAAACACTGACAACAAAAAAAAAAAGATTAAAATCAATGTGAAATGCATTTCAAAAGCCATTTTACTTCCGTAATGAGACATGTTTCAGAGTAAACAGGATAACACAAACTGTAGGCCGGAACTTAATCCCCGTGATGCTTAATCACATGTAAATTTGATTAAATTTTAACTACTGATAATTTCACATTTTTAAATTTTAATTTTAGAACCTGCAACAGTAGCCTATAAATAATGTCTAAACAGCTATTTGGCTGCTGGTTAACAACACTATAACCAATGGCTCACATAGCGATGTCCGCCAAAAATGAAAGTCATTTCAAGGCGGATCAAGTTATTAATCAAATCGAGATCAAATCATTACACTATGATTTCATGTTGATTTTAACTGTTATTTCTCCTTAGTGCTCCATTATTAGTCCAAAGTCCCGCTTTGCTGCCTCTTCTCACCAACACAAAGGTGGCACTGCAAATGATAATAAAAGGAGGACATGATAATGTCAGGTAATATGACTCCTTTCCTGACTGATATGATTATAGGCAAATTACTGGCAGTGAGACTATAAACGAAAAGCTGCAGACTCATAATTCAGACATACAACCCGAGCAAGGCCAGAGCTCTGATCGATACAGGAGGCCTCCATCTTCGTATTAACTGCACCGCAGGTCAAATGCAGACTTCTAGCTATCACATAATGAATAATGTTTAGCCTCTGACTCGCTGATCTAATAGACTTCATTAGATGTGCACAGAGCTTACTGGAACAATTCAGCATCACAATGACTCATTAATACCTTCCCTACAAACCACTAATGATGCGAAAACACAGAGGACATAATGAATTCAGTAGCATTAGGTACTAATGGTATGCGTTACTAGCACAAATGAAAACAATCTACCATATCATTCTGCACTCATTATCTTCCTGGAAAAATGGCACAGTAGTACTATTTTTCCATTGGTCCATCAAACACAATTAGTGCAGCATGCATGTGCTAGAGCCATTAGCATCACTGCTCTTGCTGGAATAACGAGCTGTTAAACCAATGCTTATGCCAAAATGTGCAACAGGCTTAATATTGTAATAAAGAACCATGACAAGCCACTGGTCTGATTTCCGTATTTGGAATATATGCCGTTGCCATGGCAAAGTCAGCTGAGCAAATGAGAGCAGAAGTGCTCAGGTTCAGTGTGCTCTTTCCTTAGGTTCTCCCACAGGATGTCTGCAATGAAACAGGAGTTCTTCAAAAGGATCACCACAGGCGGATGGAGGCCAACTCAAGTCTGGAGGGAGAATAAACTCATGAACCTTAGATACTCCCTGCAAACTGCATAACTGAAAAGAGAAGCACTGATGTAGCCCAAGCTTGATCTTCTAAGCTGCTGTGGTTTTGGTCTACAGCTCTCTTTCTGTTTGGATGAATAAGCATTGTCAGGGAGTTGTTTGAAGGGAATTTGTCATGAAGTTTGACAGCCCACTTTCACTGCCCGACAAATTAATATTTAACTGTGGGAAGCCTTTGTATTGTAGAGCTCCAAAAAAAGAGTGAATGACAAACGTTACAGCAAGACACAGAAAAAAGGGTTTGTGATATCTCTACTGAGAGGGAAGAGTAGAGACATCCTTTTTTGGTTTTTAGGGCTCGGTTAATCTGACAATTATTTAGAATTGGATATTCAACATCTTGATCACTGCACATTTAAGTCTATATAATCTGCACTATATTGTGTGCAAAAATGTTCAAATATTAAAGTTACCATAATAAAGTGATAAAAAAATTACCAACCCACAAACCTGACCTAACAACAATGAAATTAGTAGTCAGTACTTTTCATTATTGATTTTTATCATTATTAATTAGTAGTTCCAGTCCTTTTTTCCTCTCTGCTGGGTGCTAATGTTCACCCATGATGTTCAATAAAAAAACCCATGGCCTTTTAAAAATTCAGTCTGTTTTAGACTGAGATACTAAAACAGGGATAGAAACAGGAGTGAGATAATACTCTTGAAGCTCAAACAGCATGATGCTAGCAATGCCAAGATCAAGTGTTTGATTCTCAGGGAATGCATGAACTGATAAATACCCTGAACGCTATGCAAGTCGCTTTGGATAAAAGCATCTGCCAAATGCATAAATAAATCTAGAATAATTTTGGAAGGTGCAGCAATTGACTGTCACATTTGCACCTCTGATGGCATCATACAAGACATGCATCATGCAGTAATAATCTGTAACACTGCTCTACATTTAAATCCACCCCCTCTGATGCATCAACATCCTGCATGCAGGTCAACCTGTGTGCAGGTCTGAGAACAGCGCAGCTCATTTACACATCAAACACACACACATACAGTTTTAACATGTGGCCTGAAGTGACTCAGCACAAGAACTGCTATAAAATGAAGCGCAAACAGCACACAGGATATGCTTAATATATTGCAATTATTAATAAAAGATAAAAAGTAAAAACAGCAGGGAAACTTAGACCAAATGTTAGACCACTTTTGTTTATTCTGGCTAAAAATTAATCTTCATCAATACACACTGACAAAATTCAAGACCAATCCATTTATTTATGCTTATGTTTTTAACCATGCCCTCTGACATATTATAATTACTAACTAATCTTTTACACAAATGGCATGTCAGCTTTCTAGAGCACCAGGCCATTTCCTCTAAAGTAAAAATTAAGTCATGTAGGTCATATATGGTGTACAATTCATACGCTATTAAGGTCTAAACTGTCTTTATAAATGAAAATAATATACATGATGACATTCAAGTAGTTTGGGCAAGGTTTTTGACACCTGAAGTTCTGTTGAGGTTTTAATTTGCCTAGATATTATGAAATGAATTAATTTTTAATAAATACCCTATAATATGAACATTCTATGTATAATAACTCGATATTACGTCACATAGTATGAAAAGTCTCCGTTGAATTTGATTTGAAATAATCAAAACTACAAAAACACAAAAGTGTTGACTTCAGCCTTGACTGAAATAATGTGCAATTATAACGTTACACCTTAATGATCATAAAAGACTAATCATCTTTAAGAAACACAGACCAGTTCATCTCACAGCTCTGTATGCGCACCATAACATGTATTGTTTTGGTTATGCTTTATTAAAAAGCAATAAAGAATGAACCCCCAATATCACCCATACCCATAATAATAAACCATTTCCATCCCTCCACATCTCACGGTCTCCTTACCGCGATGACTCCTCCGAGAATCCGCCGTCAAGGAGGCGGACTTTACAGAACAGAACTCCGTTGACGAACGGAACCGACGACAGTTCGTCCAGCTCAAAATCAACTCTGAACTTAAACTTCTTTTTCTTCATCATCTTGACGTCGATTCCCACCAGTCCTGTTACCGCTCGATAATGCTTTTGGTCATTCGCTGTGGAGGAGCATTACTTTTATTTGCTCATCTTTGGTGAACCTCTGTTGTTAGAGCTGATTAGCTGGAGCCGTTAGCTGGAATCCCCTTTGTTTAAAATAGAAAGCTAAGCTAACGATGATAATACAGTCATAACGGATCCTTCTGTCATTAACTACATCGTTACAATCAAAAATGGTGCTGAAAATGGATATGCAGTCAGTGGGTGATAGACTGTTCCGCTCCGCGGAAGCTTGTGTAGTGCTGCTGCTGTATTGTGTGTTGTCGTGTAACGTTAGTAGTGGAAACACAGACCGCGCTTCTTAAAGGGCCAGTCAACTCATAGCCAGTCAACTCATAAACTGCGTCCCAAATGACGCACTATACACTATGCACTTATGCACTATGTACTCAACCATTTAGTGTATGAATTATATAAGGTTATTTTGTCATTCATAAACGGAGTCTGATAGCCCCTCCCCCTTCACTATGTAATTAAAGCTGCCACAGTTGAGTGCATGAAGTGTTCAACATTCCACACTTCAGCTGCGTCCCAAATGCCGCACTATACACTATGCACTTATACACTATGTACTTATGCACTATGTACTCAACCATGCAGAGTATGAATTATATAAGGTTATTCTAATCGGAGTCTAATAGCCTCTCCCCCTTCGCTACATAACTGAGTGCATGAAGTGTCCAACATTCCACACTTCGTTTTTTTCTGTTATTTAAAGTCTGCGTGAACCAGAAGTTACTGCCGACTTTATTTCAGTGTAGTGACGTATTTCCAGCTGAAACGGAATATTGAATAGAGGGCATGGTTTTATGTTTGCGCTCCTCCTCTCTGTCTCTCACTCATAGCAATCTAAGTTTTGGAGGGGTGTGTTTAAGCATATTCTGCCCAAGCCGTCAAACTGACGTCATCAGAAAAGGAATGCCATTCCAGAGCAGAAGTAAATGTTCAGATTTTGATTAAAGATTACGAAGACAAACAATTTTTTTCAGCGGATTAACTTGCACAGATTAATTGTTTACATCAAGACTAGCAATGTGTGCTAGTAAAGTAAATAAAGTCAATTTTGATTTCATGCGAACTTTAAGTGCATCATCCGGGTATTTAAATTGCACTTTTTCTTTTTGGAATTTTCAGTGTGAACGCACTACTCACACTATTTATACTACAAAATGTCATAGAATAGTGCATAAGTACGCGATTTGGGATGCACCTTTCGTTTTTTCGGTTATTTAAGTGCATCATCCGGGTATTTAAAGGTGCTGTATGTAGGATTGACACCGAGTGGTTGAACTAGGTATTGCAGTCCAAATTCAAAATATTGGAGAGGTTTTTTTTTACCCGGCCCCTCCTCCTCAGACTTGACGCACATGCAGGTTGGCAGATTGACGACACCAACAGGAACCAGCGTACTTGACAATATGTTGTGTTTTCCGCCATCTGGCAACCCGGGGTGCCGAAATACAATTGCGTAAACTGGCAGTGGGCGGATTTCACAAACCAAAACAGATACCAACATTCCGGCCCGTAACTCACATTTTCAAAGGAGAATAACTGACCGTAGCATTGTTTTTCAGATAAACAAGTATGTTAACTTAGCATGTTTCTTAAATATCTGCAAACATATTATGGTATTTTTATGCTTTAGTAGAGTCAAAAACTTACATACAGCACCTTTAAAGTGATTCCAGCTGAGCCAGTAGAAAGGTAATCACAGCTATTTCAGACAAACACCTATACTGGGGCAGGGACAGTTTTACTTGACATTTTCTCGTCCCCATCATTAAAGGAATATTATTACCAATTCATAGGCTTTTCTTGTGTCCTCACTTTTCATCCCATTAGTGTTTTGCAACCTTCAATTTTTGATGGATTTTGTAAAAATAGGGCCCAATATACAGTATTAACATTAAGGATATTTTCATATTGATATTTTCACAGTTGTTTGCCTGTATTTTGAATGATGCATTGCATTGTCTTGTGTTTGATGGTACGGAGATAGTTTTGTTGCATTATTCCAAATGTTAATTAATATTACTCAGTACTTAAATGCATAGTTACACTGTTACAAGGACACCTTAAATAAAGTGTAACCTAATCTTGATAGTACACAAAAAGAGAAATCACAATAATGTTCCATGTATAATATAATAACGCTGTGACTTAAAGGTACAGTACTCATTTTGACGTTACACAGGGTTGCGTGAGAATCAGCTGGTGTCCTTTGATAAATTGTTTTCAGTGTGACTTTTAGATTTATTTACCTAAATATTTTTAATAATTTCTCATCCAGAGTTATCAAATTCATAATGTTGTATTATTATACTAAATATTATTATTAGTATGATCATAACAAATAAATAAATATAAATGATTATAATATTGAATAATAAAATGTTTTGTTGTTGTTAAAATATATTATTATTGTTGTTGATGATAATACTTTTTTTTCATAACATATTGTAGACCTGTTTGTTTTAACAGTTCATTTGGTCAATATGAACAGTTTTCTTTTTAGTTACTTGTTTAAGTGACATGGTGTTACTTGTTCAGTTACTTGATTGAGTGACATATTGGTCACATTATAGCCTACTTACTATACATACTATATGGCAGTGGTCGCCAACCGTCGATCGAGATCGACTGGTAGATCTTAATCACTGTCCCAGTAGATCCCGGAAAAAAAAAAAAAAAGTAAAATAAGTACAAAAATGCATTACATTTCTGGGGTTATATTAATGTATCACTGAAGGGAACTGTCTTGAGAAAAGTTTCGATGGCAATGGCATTTTCTTCTCCGTATAAAGCGCAGCTCTGCTTTGTTTACAGCGGTAACCAAGGAAACGCTATATTGCAGTCGGTTCATAAGCAGTGTTGCCAAGTCCGCGGTTTTCCCGCAGAATTGGGCTACTTTAACACTGTTGCCGCTGGTTGTTGTTCATGGCCGCGTTGAAGCGACCCCAATAACGTGATATTTAGTCCCTGGAATGTGAATCTTGTCTTTCATAAAGGCCGAGGTCAGGGATCTTTCTTGGGCCTAAAACGGTTGGTGACCGCTGCTATATGGTTTACTGCCACCGGTTCTATGAAAATAAAAGGGTAAACTTGACCACTAGGGGCCCGAGAGAGTGGGTTGATTCTTATTCACGCAGTAATAACATTAATATGGAGCAGCACTGACCACTAGTGGTTGATAATAGTAGTGTAACACCTGGCACTTGCATATAGGAAAAAGAACGAACCTGTAGGCTACTGCGTATTTGTATGCATAGTCTTCTGTGTGTCTTTACACACACACTAGGTGGCGCTGTAACACTTCGATTGTCATGCGTGATGTTTCTGATCTAGATATACTTGTAGGAACAAAAAAACAACAAAAAACAAACAGAAGTTAACCCTCTGCACGCATTATGAAATCAATGCTAAAACGCTTATTCACACTTCTTGCATAAAATGGACCCATCTACTAAAACGGATTTAGAAAAATAATATTTGGGGGTTATTGGGTCATTTTTAGGTCCATATGCAATATTCCCTATAGCATCTGCGTGCATGACGTCACTACACAGGTGAGCTCCATATTGTCAATGTAAATGTTTTTATTAGGTAACTAACACATTTAAGAAATTCCACATAAATAATTCCTAGAAATAGAAGTCAATAGGAAGTGCCATTTTTAGCGGCTGTGGATCCGTGCGCGCACCGTTCAGCGCGCTCAGTGTGTCTCTCCATCCAGCCCCCTCATTTCAGCTCAAATGTCACGTCACTCCTGCTTCTTCTCAAACCAGTTTCATGCTGGGGACCAGGCACCTGCCCTCAACTGGACTTTACCTCTTCTGGACTTTTGCTAAACCTTATCCCGTTTCGGTTATTTCACCTGGAGGGCAGTGCAACTGGAGATCTGTTTGACGTTTTATCGTTTTTGAAGAGGAAAAAAGCCCGATTTGAACGCACAATCTAAAGTAGCATATGTTTGGAAGGATTATATTGCACACCTTGCACGATGACTGCGATGGGAATTTGGTGCGTTTTATGGCTCCCGACATTCGCTCTCACTTCAGCCGCTCCGAAATCACACCAGCGACTTCTGGAGAAGACGACTGAACAGAACGACACTTTGCAAGTTGAAAGAGACAACCAAGAAAATATATTAAGTCAGGTAAGAATCTCTTCACCAGCGCTCGATATGATAATTCCACTTAACAGTTATAGGCCTATCTGTGCAGCTTCTTTATAACTTTCAGTAGCCTATTACTTCATGATAACTTTCATTAATAGCTTAACAATAATGCTTAACATATAAGTTTCTAATGTAAATTCAAATATGAATAGCCTATAAAATATGATAACAACTATTATATATAGGCCTGTAGAAGAAGTTTTATGACATTTCTAAATTCTAACTATTTGAATGCAGGGTGCGAATTTGGGGGATTTCAAAATAACAAATATATTAAACAGCGTCTAAACAGCGTTTTCAAAGAAAAATAAAACATTTCAGAGCATATTAAATATACGGTCGCGAACAGGCATTGCGTTCTCCAGGCATTTGGTTCTCGCGAGGAAGTAACCATAGCAATAGTAGGCTGCTGGAGCTATAGTATCGGACAATACACACACACACACAGACAGACAGACAGACAGACAGACAGAGAGAGAGAGAGAGAGAGAGAGAGAGAGAGAGAGAGAGAGCTGGGTAGTAACTGATTACATGTAAATATGGATTACGTAATCAGATTCCAAAAATTAGGTACTTGTAATTAGATTAAATTACATTTTAAAATACTCGTAATCAGACTACAGTTACTTTTTTATGGATTACATGATTATATATTATTCATACAATAGCAATAAATTATTCATAATTTATCAATTCTTCAATTCCTCTTTTTCATCTTTTAAATGTTCCTTTCTCAAATATCGTACCGCTTATATACACTCAGAAAGTCTTCCAGTTTTGTGGACATTCACACAAAGACCAGTCATTAGTCAGGTGGCTACACAACATTTGACCGCTGGATATACAAAAATCATTTCAAGTGTTTCAACGTTGCATCAACCACTGATGAACACATTAATATTTATCTGAATTATCACTCAGTAGGTTATTTAACCATCTATTTCAATGTCTTTGGAAGGCATTTGTTTTTTAAACACATTAAAATGCACAAATTCACAATATTTTTTATTTACATGTAATGCAGGCATTCCCAAACTTTTTTTGTCATCTGAACATCTTTCATCTAATATATTTACTTAAAGTACCCCTGAGATTTTAAAATAAATATTTAATAATTAAGTATCACAAGTTCACGGTTCTCTGACGTTGGTTAATGGCCACATGACATGCAGGTAAACAAATAAAATAATTAATTTTTTAGTAAGTGTTTTATTTCTTTTTATTTTATTTTTTAAATGCTTTTTTTAATTGATGTTGTTAATTTCAACGAATGGAATATATGTTCTTTCTTTTTGTTTTTTTATATCAATATGGTACAAGATTAACCTATTTAAATCAATGTGATAAGTGAGTAAGGTCAAAAGTAATCTAAATGTAATCCGATTACATTACCTGAAATGTGTAATGTAATGGATTACGTTACAAACTACAATTCTTGTCATGTAATTTGGAATAAGTAACGGATTACAATTTTCAAGTAATCTACCCAGCTCTGCACACACACACACACACACACACTCAAAAGTACTGACATTATCGCTTCATTGCAATTTTCATATCACACGCATATCGTTACATTTTGTTTAAAATTGTGTTTTGTTTAAAAATCTTTAAGATCGTTTTGCTAATGTGCCGGGAGCGACAATGTTTCGCGAGACGAATGGAGAACTAAGTTACTCACAGTCGGAAAAACATTTTAAGTCTTTAAAATATGCGCAATTCGCATACTGTTTGAATGTAAGTTTGTTAATGTTATTAATGAAAGTTACTATAAAATGTTCCAGCTAAATGAACAGACTTTACAACGCTGGTGGTCACAGAAAAACAATAATGCACATTAAAATGCACATCCATATACTGTACAAATAACAACAGTCCAGATGTGTTACAATGCAACAAAGTGCGGTGATTTTGCTGGCTGGAAAATGCATCCGTCCTCTTTTCTTTGTAGCTGCTGGGTGATTATGACAAAGTGAAAGCGCTTGCGGAAGGCTCTGACTGTGGCTGTAAATGTGTTGTCAGACCTCTGAGCGCGAGCGCGTGCCAGCGGATCCGGGACGGTCACGCGACGCCTCAGGATTTCTATACGGTGGAGACCATCACATCAGGACCCCACTGCAAATGTGCATGCATTGCACCTCCGTCGGCTTTAAACCCCTGTGAGGGTGACTTCCGGTTGAAGAAGCTGCAACAGGCTGGGAAAGATAATATTAAGGTGACCAGAACATCTGCAGTCGGATCTCATAGACCAGAATAAGTTCAAAATATGCCAGCATATGAATGCATAACATTTCCTACCCTTAAATAAAAACCAGCTCTTGCCATGACGGAATTTACTTCATCGTTACAGCTGTCAACTATACTGGAATTGCTGGAGGGTTCCTTCTATGGCATGGATGTATTGAAATTACATTCAGTCACCACAAAGCTTCTTGATCGCATGGACACTGTAGAAAGAGTATGTGGTGGTTCCTTTTCTTATACATACGCTTTCTTTTCTTATACATATTAAACACATTATTAATGTGTTTTATTATTGACAGATGGTCTTAAACAACCAGACCGAGGAGAAGTCGAACACAAGGAGTACCTCTCCAAATCCACAGCTGCTCACATCTTCACCTGCAACTCTGCCTCCACAACTGCAGGAGAAGAGGACGAGTCTGAGGGAGCAGAATGACCAGGCAGCTGCTTTTCAGCACATCGAGGTGGGAGGTGCTTTTTAAAACAAATGTTGCATTACATAAGTATTATGTCCAATACAAAACAATGAAACAATTCAAACATTATGTCTGGATGACTGTCTCAGAGTCAAAAGTGACCTCATATTTGAAACTCTCACTAATTTATCCCACTGTCAACTCTTACATAAGTTGGCATGAAAAGAGCCAAATGACTTGGACTATCAAAGATCCAAAGCAGATGATCTATATAATAATCTGTTAAAGGGGTAGTTCACCAAAAATGAAAATTCTGTCAGCATTTACTCACCCTCATATCATTCCAAACCTATAAGACTTTGGTTAATCCTTATAACACAAATTAAGATATTTTTAATGAAATCTCAGAAATTTCTGTCCCTCCATTGAAAGTCCAGGTACTCTAAACTTAGAAGATCCAAAAATCGTAAAACAAATCTATATGAATCAAGCGGTTTAATCCAAGTTTAGTGAAGAGATATGATTGATTTATATGATGAACAGATTTAATTTAGACTTTTATTCACATTAACACATACGTACTTAGAGCACCTCACATATGGTGTACATGGAAGCTCAAATGTGCATGTATGAGAACCAATGAGGTTAGTTCTATCGTTTGACACACAAGTGTCTGTGTTTACTATATGTGATACGCTCTATGTATGTTTATATGTGAAAAAAAAAACTAAATTATATGTATTCATCATATAAATCAATCTTATCTCTTCACAAGAGTTGGATTAAACCAGTTCATATGGATTAATTTTACAATGGCTTTATGACCTTTTTGGATCTTCTAAGTTTTGTTTACCTGGACTTTCAATGAAGGGACAGAAACCTCAGGTTTCATTAAAAATATTTTAGCTCTTATTGGTTTGGAACGACGTGAGGGTGAGTATATGATGACAGAATTTTCATTTTTGGGTGAACTATCACTTTATTGCATAATATCTCAAAGGCTGCAGTATCACAGTGTCATATGATGCACTTAACAGAGTAAATATGAGGAAAAGTTTGTGGGAGATCTTCTGAAGAGCAGCGGATCAGACCTAAACAAGGCCGTCGCAGCTTTGCAAGAACAAGAGCGCCAAGGAAGGGAGAAGCAACCAAAAATAATTGTTAGGGGGATCACATACTATAAATCTGACCCAGTGGATGAGACAGACACAGAGGAGAACTGTAAGTATAACTGTGTGATTTCGACATCTACTGTACATTCAAAGTTCTCAGAAAGAGAAGTTTGGAAAAATTTGCCTATACACTCTTAAAAAATGAAAGTTCTTTATTGGTAACTGTGGTTATATGAATGAGCGTTAACATCCATAGAACCTTTCTATTGCACAAAAGGTTCTTTATATTGGAGAAAAGTTATTACAATTATTATATTAAAATGTTCTTTACACTAAGAAGAAAAAATTATATTTCTTTCTTTGGGGAACCTAAAATGGTTCTTCTATGGCATGGCTGTAAAAGCCCTTTTTTAAGATTGTAGTTGCCTATCTAAAATATTTTGTTCTTCATTGCAGTAGATGATAATCACAGTGGTGACAGCCCAATTGATCTCTTTGCTGACGAGCAGCTCCTTCATCACAAAGCTCGCCACTTCAGGCCACTCATCAAAGCGTGGTCTCTCCGACCAAAATCCAAGAGTGAAGTTTCAAAAGGAGGAGATGCACGAAATGGTCTTCAAACTCAATTTACTGGACTGTTGGACTCTGCCTTGCCGATTAAAACGCCTACTGAACCAGTATCTGTTCGAACTCAAACCAGTCGTTTCACCACAGACAGCTCTACAGGAGATGAAAGAACCACAGCGACACCTGCTGTGATGGATAATTTGAAGGTCACCATCCCCAAGGAACATAATAGCCCTCAAACCATCGTCAAAAAAATAAGCAATGCTCAAAACATGTTGGTCAGGTCATCCAATCTGGGCCACATAAAAACAAATGAGTCGGCCACAGCAGCTGCTGCTAAAGTGGTGGCTGCACAGCCAACCCTAACAGAGATTACCACCAACGGGACTGTTGAAAAGGAAACATCTGTATCTTCTGTGACTGAAGGTGGAATTGTTAACAAGAAAAATCTGAAAGAAAATGCTTCTCACACTGGTAAACCTTTGTTTTCAATGGACAGCTTAACTCAAAGCACATTTAGGAGAATAACACCATTACCAACTCCTCATTTGGACACTTTAACAGTCACAGAAAGCTCACTGGGATCAACTGCTCACACAAGAGCTGCTACCACCATTGTGACGTCACCTCATGTCACTGAAAGCAAGGCAGACTCAGTTACCTACTTACCCAAGATGACTCCTAAACAGACATTAACCTCAGTGCCATCTTTGATGACCACTACAAAAACTACCACAACAACAACTACAACCACAAGCAAACCTGGCAAACGCAAATATAGCAAAAACTATGGTGGAAGAGAGTGTGGGTGAGGAACCTCAAAGGAAGCCAGGTATAGATTTATTATGTTCTTGTTACTCATTTTCCTCTTTTTTTCTCTTTTTTTTTTTGGAAGTGCTGATTTCAATTTTATTCTGTACAGTTATTTAAAAATTCCATATATAATAATTACAGTTACACACACACACATATAAAATTGTGAGTATTAATATTTTTAAATATTATTTTTTTAAATAATTGTACCAATTAATTTCTGAAAGTAAAAGTAATAATTACAATTATTAATTATATATATATATATATATATATTCAGAATGGGATGAAGAATACTCTGCATTGTTTAGCACAAAACTGATAAAAACACCAACATAACTGTGGTTTTAATTCTGGTTTTGTTTGCAGGAATGTGTAAAGACACCTTGGCCACAATCTCAGAGCCCGTCACACACAATACATACGGTCGTAACGAGGGCGCTTGGATGAAGGATCCACTGGCTCAATATGACAAGATCTATGTCACAAACTATTATTACGGCAACAACCTACTGGAATTCCGCAACATGGATGTCTTCAAACAAGGTATCGCTCTTTAATTCAAATAAACAAACTCGGAACATTAAAGCAATTTTTCAAGTCATTTTACTTGTTTTGTTTTCTTTCTTTCATTCAAGGCCGCTTCACTAATTCCTACAAGCTGCCTTATAACTGGATCGGCACTGGCCACGTGGTCTACAACGGCGCTTTCTACTACAACCGCGCATTCTCTCGAGACATTATTAAGTATGACCTGCGGTTGCGTTACGTGGCTGCCTGGACCATGCTCTATGATGCAGTGTTTGATAATGACGACGTGTCTGCGTGGAGATGGAGAGGAAACTCGGACATGGATCTGGCCGTCGACGAAAGCGGGCTTTGGGTGATCTACCCAGCGCTGGACGACGAGGGCTTCTTGCAGGAAATGATCGTCTTGAGCCGCCTGAACCCCAATGATTTAAGCATGAAGCGTGAAACCACATGGAGGACCGGGCTCCGACGCAATCATTACGGTAATTGCTTCATCGTATGTGGCGTTCTTTACGCGACGGATAGCTACAATCAGCACGACATCAATTTGTCCTATGCCTTTGACACCCACACCAACACTCAGGTGATCCCTCACCTGCCTTTCAGCAACAACTATACTTACATCACTCAGATCGATTACAATCCCAAAGAGAGGGTGGTGTACGCCTGGGATAACGGACATCAGGTCACTTATAATATTCAGTTTGCATATGTAGACCCACTGTAGACCCTAACGGCAGAGCAAGTACATCCTTTGCACAAAATAGAAGAAACCATAAATGTGTTCAAGTGGATTGTGGATCAGTTCACTCAGCTTTTCTTAACTTCATGTAGTTTAATGTACTTATTAATATGCTGTTATGTTTTCATAGTGTAAAAATGGACCTATATCGTTGCATTTATGGTGAAAACAAAGCAAAGCAATTTTCTTAACTGAATTTCTTAACACCCCAACACTGCAGCTAGCCTATATGAGCTTTGCAGTTTGCATTATTGGCCATGTCTTTAGATATTGTTGCTTGCTTATGCACTATGGAAACGAACCTCTTTGTGTGTATAGCTATACCTCTCGTAAGGCTGGCAGAATTATAGTTGAGGTGTTGTATTCTTAAATCCATTAGAATACATTGTATATACTGTAATATAAAAGCTAAAACATGAGATTGATGAATGTAAAAAATACAATTTGTATTTTCATAAACATCTTTTTTAACAACTATCACTTGCGTATAAAAAAAATAAAGTTTGAAATTGTATAATTTCAGTAAAACAAGAGTAGACAAGTGTTTTGGGCACATTTTCATTGTGTTGTTTTTCATCAGCACATTTTATACATTATTTCAGTATCGTTTTGTGCATATTTTTTGCAATTTCATTTGAGACTCTTTTAGCACTTATGAAATTCAAATCTGTCAGACTCAGAAAATGGCTGCAATAAAATGAGTTGAAATAAGACATATGGCACTGGTTTTCCTTTCGTAGTGGATGTCAAGTGAGAGCGTGTTCTCAGCACAGGCCTTCTCATTGGTCACTTACTGTAGATGAGAGCAAAGTGTTACACTGTAAACCCCTTGATCCACAGAGCTAAATCTGGACAAACAAAACACATCTACTATAGTTTAACCCGAAAACATTGTTTACCCCAGCCTTTGAAATTACCTATAATCAGCACTTTACAGCACCTCAGACCCCACATTTACACAAACCTTCAATTTCAGAGAGCAAATTCAGACTGACACAAGACTCTTGTCTGCGTCCTAAAAACAAAAGATGCACACAAATCACCCACAACCCTGAGTCCAGTGTTTATTTCTTTGCGTTGTTACAAAACATCGCTGTCACTGTGAGAACAAACAAAAAAAAATCTTTCCAAAAATGCAGATATTAAATATATTAAAAATAAAAATGTTGAAAAAGTTTATAAATGTTTCATTTATAAACATAAGAGACATTTCTATTTCAATGCTAAGAACGAAATGTGATATTTTCTCTAACTAAATACTCTAATATATCATCCTCATTTTGAGAACAAAGCTCCACCTGAGTTAAGTTTATAATCTGTGAAATTCAAATTGTATTTTCATATTCAGTCTATGAAGGTGAATGCTTCTTTGAGAGTGACGACAGGTTGGAAAGAACAAGCTAATGATCATGTCGCTTTCGAGTGAGAACTGACGACAGCATCCTAAACAGGACAAGAAACAAGCACACATCTAAATAGGCCAGAATAATAGAGACAAACACACAGTGAACAAGGACAGATGAGGTACAAATTAACATGAATATTTTGTCTCTTCCACGCCTTCAAATTAACAGCCAGTATTATGTTAACAGCTGTAATTATGTCAAGCACACCTCATTTAAAGTTCAATTAAGCCACTAAAAAAAACATGAGGGCATGAAACACATTAAAAAGAACTGACAGATGTTGCATAAGACCCCCAACCCCAAACTGCTATTCCAATTAGAATTTGTCTAAAATTATGATTTAGTGCAAAATGCCTCCTTCACTGACTCAAGAGTAAATAATCAATGTTTCTACTTTTATATTCAATTACAATGTCAAACAAAAAGAAAAGAGAAAGAAAAAACAAAAACAGAAAAGCAAAACTCACTGGCAATGCAGGTTGTTTGAGGATAGTGGTATTGAAGAATATGTTGTTGAATATAACCATTAAATACGTACCAAACAAGCTTGGTACAAATAATAAATCTTCATAAATATTTATTTGAATTAATTTCATAAACAAAACAAGCACAATGCAAACAAAACCAAAGACTCTAAGACAGTTTCCTGACTGCTACCACATATAGCAGCGAACGGTTCGATAATCAAACAAGAACGCACTTTGGTTTGGGAGATTTGGACAATGAATGCTCCTGTAGTTCAGCTGGTAGAGCACAAACAAACTGAAAAGATAGGTATATCTGGAATGTGCTTGAAGTCACTTTGTATAAAGTGTACATAAATATAAATGCCTCTGATGACATGTATAAAAGTAGTTGCTGAAATCAATAGCCTGGAATAAAGACTGTAATCTGGATTGAATGGCTTATCAGTATTTAATGGCTCACTTGATGCATTTTGAAGAGGTGCCTTCAAGAGGAATTGTTGACTATTGTTGATTATCTTGGGGATTTGGTAGTTGATTACCAAGATCCTGGTTTGCCACTCGAATAAGAAGACTCACAAAAATGAACACAAAATGCTTATTATGTAACAAAATAGATAAGCAACTTTTGTGGTTAGTGGATAGCTGAGACTAGGAAGAACCCATGAGGACTCCAACGGGTGCCACAGGCTGGTTGTTGCTGGGGGCCGCGTGATAGAAAGAGTCTGTGTCTGTCTGATTGACCCGCAAGATGGGTGGAATAGTAGACGACTTGATGTGGAGGATCCTGGTGTCCATGACCTCACAGTCGATCTGCATCATCACCTCAAACTCTTTGTCTTTTAGGATGCTCTCTGCAGTGAGACAGAAAAGTAATTGTATTAGCAAAGAAAATACAAATAATAATAGAAAATAGCACTTGGTGCTCAGCTCTGTGTGGAAGTAATTGTTAAAGAAATGCAGTTGATGTGCAGGGTGGCCTGAGGAGGTTAAGAGGCATTTTAGGGGCTCCTTTCACACAAAGGGTTCATTGAGGTCATGCTGGCCTTTATTTTCACCTAGTAGTAAACACAACAGATGATGACTCCCACATGAAAGAAAATGGGGTTAAGGAAAGGTACACTACCGTTCAAAAGTTTGAAGTCAGTAAAAATTTTTAAATTTAATACTGTTATTCAGCAAGATTGCATTAAATTGATCAAAAGTGACAGTAAAGACATTTATAATGTTACAAAAGATTTCTATTTCAAATAATTGCTGTTCTTTGAAAATTCTATTCATCAAAGACTCACAAAAAAGTATCACGGTTTCCACAAAAATATTAAGCAGCAACTGTTTTTAACATTGATAATAATGAGAAATATTACTTAAGGCAACAATTCAGCATATTAGAATGATTTCTGAAGGATCATGTGACACTGAAGACTGGAGTAATGATGCTTTGCCATCACAGGAATAAATTACATTTTAAAATATATGAAAATAGAAGATAGTTCTTTTAAATTGTAATAATATTTCACAATATGACTATTGTACTGCACTTGATTAAATAAATATAGCTTTGGTGAACTTAAAAAAAATCTTACCAACCCCAAATGTTTAAACATTTGACTAATTTCTATGATTTTTCTAGGTCATATCATACAAGAGTTAACAGGCGATAGCACATTTACACATCAAGTACTTAAGTACCAGATTGCTATCCGATTCATTCAAATGAGGCTGTGTTCTAAAATACGTAAGCAAAACAGATCAAGCTTCAGTTTTACTGACAGGGTGGGACGCCCCATCATTCTTAATCTCTGGAAGTGAAGGTCAGGCCGTGACTTTTTTCCCCCCGTGTTCTGACAAACTCATAAAAGCGCTCGTCAAACACAAGCAATGAGAATTTTGTAAGGAACCATTAACGGCATGATGGTTTACACTCACTACAGATGTTCTACGGTCTATCTTCTATAAGGACAGCTCTCTATACCAGAGAAGACGAGAGAGCGCTTCACATACATGCACAGCATATGGGCTGCAGGAAAGTAACTTTTACAGCAGACTTGTGCGATTCGCTCCAGCACTGATAAAAGCTTTATAGGCTGAAGAGCATCACGGTAGGTCAATCTAAAGCACTTTTCCAGCCCTTACTGGTGAATACATTTACGCATTCTACACTCGATCGTTCTTGACGAGCTCTTCAGCTGCACACCCACAATGATGATCTCAAAACGGGTGATTTACAGTAAACCTAACTGTACGAGTCTTTCTGAGGTGTTCCTGAAACCAAATTCTTTCCATCTATCTCTGCTACCACCACTGAACAGTCAATGTTATGGGATAAAGCCTCAATATCATCTCACAAAATGCGTATTTTCACAGGTGCTTAAAAAAAACTTAGCAGTGCTGCAGAAATCATCATAGATGATGGGTTACAGCAATCATCTCACTGTATTAAACTGCAAGCACTAAAATGACACTGAACTGCTGAGCTGTACACGTCCTGTCCAATCTTTTCCATCCTATATATATACAAAGTTTCCAATATGTCAGAAATGTCATTTTCCATTCTCACAGAAGGCTTTTCGTTAGGTGAATTCCCTTTGGATATGTCTGGTACTATGCCTGACTTTCCAAACACCATTTAAAATACTGATTAAGGCAACATGTGGACTCAAGGGTAAATTCCTGATGAGGTTGTGGTTGTGAACCGTTGAGATTCCAGCCAAACTCACGTTCCCCCATAACTGATAGTTTAAGATGAACAGTTCGCCCAGAAGCAAAATGAAAGCAAAAAAAATTGACGAAATATAAATCGAGAACAGTTGAACTCAGGGAGTTGAACTCCGATTTGATATGAATCGTTCTGTCGAATTCATGAACCAGACGAACCAGGTCATTAATAAAAAGAACCGTCTTAAAACAATTAATTGTTCACTGATTTGGTTCTCAAATTGAACAGACTCAATGATCAGTGGTTCTTGAGTTAACGTCTCACTGGATAAAAAGATTGAGTAAATACATATCTTTTCAGACTTTTCAGCAAAAAAAGCCATACTATGACTTCAGAAAACTTGGAATATAATGCACAAGTAGTATTTTGTTGTATGTCACTATGAACTGGACATAAAGTCTCTTTTTGTGTCCATTTGGGGAGAGTAAATGACAAAATTAAAATTATTGGCTGAACTTTCCTGAATTAGGCTTTTTTACTAGGCTTTTTACTATAAAGCAATGCCTGTGACTGCAGAGTAAAAATGTTCATGATATGACTTCGAAATGTGTGCAGTGCACAAACAAACAAAGAAAAGGGAATATGATGATGATCATCATCTCCAACATTCACAAACAATTATAATGCTGACTCAGAACTCCCACAGGGAAGATAGTGAAGAAAGACCAGATTATATATGTACTAACACTGCCAGGCACTGCAACAATAGTTTCCAAACCAAACATGAAATTGAAATTGATGGAGAAAAAAAACTTTTGTTTTGTTATTCATGTTGTTTTCAAGATAGATGATGAATAACAGAAAAGTTTCTCCTCCATCCCTGCATCACATGTGGTGAAAAACACCCTGACCCAAACACACACACTTGAGCGTGTAGAACAGAACAGAATCAGCTAGAGGCAATTTCACAAACTAGACTTCTGTTATGAGTTGTCCAAACGTTGTTCTCTTAATAAAACCACGTGAAACCCAACTTTGAACATGCATTTCTAAATCAACACAGGATGGAGCCAGAAAAAAACTGATTCAGAGTACACCATGCTTGGCCATCCTCAAGAGAGAATACTTTGACTTAGGTTTCATAAACAATTTAAGTCTATGATATGGCAGGTTTCTTGTTTTCTTTTGAGCTGGTGTGCAAACTGCACAATTAATCTCAGACTATGTGCGTCAATTACAAGATCAAGCTCTTCCCAGACATCACATTCTCTCACAAACTCACGCACATAGCAACTGGAATGTTTATTCTTGCCATTAAAAACATGGAGCACATGCCCTCATTTTTTGAAGATTTTTTTTAGCCCTGCTTCCCAAAACTTCTCTTTCTCACAATTTCATCAGCTGTGGCTCTCTAGCTCGTTGGAACAGTTCGCACACCTGATGACTGGTCGGAAAGATTTCAAACTGTATTTAAACAGGTTTGCAATCTATCCTTGTGTCTGTGATTAGTCTCATGATTGCTTGCACTAGAAGAGAGACTCCAATAAGCAACTGAGATAACTACTAAAAGTTAGGGGCATTTGTCCTGATATATGCACAAACTGTTTCTTTCTCAAGCACTCAAATCATAGTAGGAATGATA